TGGTACGCAGGCCTCTCACTGTTTTGGCCTCTCCCGTTGCGGAGCACAGGCTCTGGATGTGCAGGCTCAGCAGCCATGGCTCACGGGCCCAGCCGCTCCATGGCATGTGGGACCTTCCCTGACCAGGGCAAGAACCTGTGTCCCCTGAATTGGCAGGTGGACTCTCAACCACTGTGCCACCAGGGAAGCCCTCATTCTTTTTTTATGGCTGAGTAATATTCCATTGTATATATGTACCACATCTTCTTTATCCATTCATCTGTCCATGGACATTTAGGTTGCTTCCATGTCTTGGCTACTGTGAATAGTGCTGCAAGAGACACTTAAAAAAAATTCCTATGCCTATCCCCATTCTTATTATCCTTAAATTGATTAGTCAGATCATAATTTTAGAAGTCTTTTGGTCATGACTAATCATAAAAGCGAGATAATTTCAGTAATTAAAATGCCCAGTCTCTTGTAAGAGTCAAAATTCCAATATATATATAGTTTCATCAAGAGTCTTCCCAGGTAGGACGTGCTTCAGTTGGGAAGTCTCTGGTCGTACAGTCGAGGGTGTGGGACTTTTCACTGACCCCCTTGCCTTGCATTCCTTTATCTTCACACCCAAGCTTGCTGGCCGGGGTTTCCCACTGCTGCAGGGATCACCGTGGGTGGAAGGGAGTGCTGAGGACAGGAGAGTCTGATTGCAGGAGCAGGTCGTGGCCCAGCCTTGATGCTCTGGAGCTGACTCTTTGTGGGAGAGATGTTCATCAGTGAACATCTGAAGGCCACTGCCTGGGCACTGGACATGGGCAGTAGCTCTCCACTGTTCCTTTGATAAGACCCACCCCAAGCCCTGCATGAGCACCTGAGGGTGCCCCTGCAGCCTTCTTTGCTGAAGTTTCCTGCTCCTGGTAGGTCTCTTGAGTGGCTTCTTTCCCAATGACCCAGCAAGGCACCCACCCCAGAGTTCATATCTGGCTTTTGCCCCACAGTCCAAAGGGTCATCTTCTCTCCCTTGGCCCTGCACTCTGCTGCCGTGGGCCACTCCAGCCAGTTTCCTACTTGGAGGCTGGGCAGGCTTGAATCAGAGTATAAAACATTTCTATAAAAGAGAGTTGATGCATTTCTAAGAAACTTTCTATAAAAGAGAGTTGATGCTTCTAAGAAAACTAGGTTGAATGCTCTGGAAAGGCATTATCAGAAATTATTGAATAGGGCTTCCCTGGTGGCGCAGTGTTGAGAGTCCACCTGCTGATGCAGGGGACAGGGGTTTGTGCCCCGGTCCAGGAAGATCCCACATGCCGCGGAGCGGCTGGGCCCGTGAGCCATGGCCGCTGAGCCTGCGCGTCCGGGGCCTGTGTTCCGGAACGGGAGAGGCCACAACAGTGAAAGGTCCACGTACCGCAAAAAAAAAAAAAAAAATTATTGAATAACTTAGGAGAAAAAAATGGACAAAGAGGGAAAGAACCATAAATTAAAAAGTCCGTCAAGAAGGTCTCTGTATTCAAATTGTTTCACAAGTAACTCTAGGTCCGCTTCTCTTTAAAGACACCAGAACTGGAAGGGGCAGGACTGTAGTATTAGGGGTGCAGTTTGTACAGAATGGATGGTGAGGCAATGCAAGCAGCAGGCCCCCATGCAAAGAAAAGGCCCAGCTCCTAAGCAAAAAGTTAGTGAAGAAATCCACATTTACAAGGTTTATGTCAAAATAAAATACCCAATGTACACATGTATCATATTTATGATTCTCTGTTTGAACCAGGTTTTTCAACTGCCTGACCCTCTCCCCACCATTGCTGACTTTGTGAACACGGAGAGCTTCCATTCTGCCCTGTCGTCTCCTTTTCTCAGGTTGTAGAATCAGGAGACAAAAGGAAAACCCCAAAAAATCTGAGGCAGAAAACAAAAACAAAACCTCTTCTCATTTTGGTTCTCCCTTAAGCCATCCTCCCCTATCTGTTTTTTCTTTCAAGTCCCAATTCTATTAGTCTACTTATATCCCCACTTTTGCACTTCATAATCCCTCAGAAAGTCATACAGGCTGGTTTCCATGAAGGGAATTCATTACCCCCCAAAGTAAGCTCCTCAGTCATCTTCCATCGACTTACTTCCTGGAGCAATGACACGGGTGCCCACCCTGGTTCCTGTGCTGTTGGGTTGGGTTTTCGTCCTCTTTCTCTGACTACTTATTTTTCCGCTTCTTCCATGGCGCCTTCATGGGCACAACCAAGGTCCTCTGTTTCAGCTTCCTCTCTTCCCCTTGCTCACAACTCCTTGTTATTTCAACTCACGCTTCTAGGGTGTTGCCAACAGTGTCGGGGGCCCACAGCTGAGAGCACTGCACTTTGCCACTGGCAGGGACGCAGCAAAGCCCGTGAATAAATGGCTAACTTCCACTGTCAGCCTTGACTTCTCCCCAGACTCCAAATCCACATACTCAGGGGCTATCACTGGGCAGTGGCCAACAGGGACAGTTGCTTAATTAAGACTCTTTTCCTTTATCTGGGCTACAGAAGTGATAAGAAAATATCACTGATGATAATAAAATGACAAACATTACATTATAAACAGTACAAGGCATGCCAAGGACTTACAAAGTGCTAGGAACGTAGCTAGCCGTCCACAAATAGCACTTTATTAACTGCTTGTTAGATAGCACCTCACATCTGTCCTCTGTGCCCTGCTTCAGTAACTGAATTAGCACAGCTTTAATCACTGAGACTAGTAATCAGTTTCTGAGTCATTTTCTACTGCTTTCTCAAGTCTCACATCCAATAAATTGCCAAATCCCGCCCATTCCCCCAACCTCCCCCAAAATCTAAAAATTAAATCTTAAAGCTGAGCTCTGTTCCTCTTTCTGTTCCCACAGCCACTGACCTACTTTGGGCCCTCGTCACATTTCATCTAGACCCTGCAGGAGGCCCCTCACTGGGTTACTGTACAATGGACTCCCTTGTAGAGTACTAGCCCATAATAGTCCCCCTTGGCTTCAAAAACACCCTTATACGGTTGCCAGTAATGTCCCCTACGTAATACTGTCTTTAAACGGCTCAGAAACTTTCAATGGCTCTTTACCACCTGAGGAATCAATCAATCCAGGTGATTCTAAGCAACGAATGGCCTGACCTCAACCCACCTTTCCAACCTCCTCTCCCAGGTGCAGGCAGGCAGGCACCTGTGATTCCCTGCACGTGGCACTTTCTCAGATTTCCAGTCTTCCAATCATTGTACACCCTTGTGCAGAAGAAACTTTGCTTCCATTTCAGACCATAAAAGTCCTACCTGTATTTCAAAGCCCATCACTTTCCTGATGGTCTCCTAAATAAACTTTCTTTGGAATTAAAGAATTAATTCCTTCTCCATCTTTCTGTGCTGCTTTCTCAAAACTGTCATAAATCATGACTTTTCCATGAATAATAATCTATACACACGCATACATTATATACAAATATATTTCGACACATACATATATGTTATAGACTAACAGACTACCTGCTCATTGAGGATTTTACTTAGCTTAATTTTACTAATAGAGCAGTGGATGGGTTCAAAAATGAATGAATGAATGTATGAATACATTCTATGCTATATATATCTACCTGTGAGTTATGGCATTTTGAAATGTGTTATAAAATATATGGCAGGAAAAACATTTTTTCCAGATTATATAAAATAAATCCCCAAAGTTGTTAGTCAACACTGGCTTATATAATATCTATTATAAATTTATTACAATCTAAAAAAACTTTTTGGCTGAACAATGAAGATCAGACTTCAAATCAGGTGGACTTAGGCTCACTCTGTGCTACATTTTTCACATATTCCTATTACAGGGGGGAGAAATCCTATAAAATACCCTGGTGCCTTCTAGATCCCTCCATCTCTCTACTTTGAGCATCCACTGTCTTATGACTTCCAGCCCTATTGGGTTTCTGATAGTTTTTTCCTCTCTGTGTAAGACCTCCAGGTACACAGTCTGGGGATGACTCACCTGGCACTTTTATTTGACTACTCCTTTAAATTCCTTTAAAGATATTCCTTTAGATGTATCTGGCCCCTTGCCTCCACATGCTACACTCCTAGGACAAGCAAACTGTGCCAACCCAAACTTCCAGAGACCAAATTCTCTGCTGGAACTTGGTACCCTTTCCTTAACAGAGGCCTGGAGTCTATTAAACTGATAGAAGTCTCTGGTGAGAGACCCAATTCCTGGGTGTTAGGGAATGATCTCCCATTTGTATATAATAAGGGACAATTCAACAGAAAGCCCGTTTGAGAAGAAAAAAAGGCAAAGCCCTGAAGAAAAAGTATCAAAAGTCTCACTGAAGAGAGATCCCTGCAGAAGAAGGTAACTATAATTTGTGTCCATAGTTCAGGAAACATTTAATTACCTTATTAGATAATAGGGATATGTACAATGTTTAGATTCCCCACTTCCATCCATTCTCTTTATGCATATGCCATGGTACCATGAGGTCAGCCTGGATAACTTCTACCTTTCAACACACACTTTAGATAACAGTCTTCCAAGGGCCATCTCCTACCTTGATGTTCCTCTCAGTGCGCTTTACTTCACACCTTTATTTTAATATCTATCACCTCATTATGCGTTCAACATCTAACTCCCTCCACCACTAGGAAATCTGAGTGCTTAGAGGATAGAAACTATTTTTATTTTAATTAAATATCTTCTACTGCTATTCAGATCCCCAACCAGAGTCATCAGCCCGTAAATGTTGGTGGAAGGAACAAACCTGAAAGAATCAAGGCTTTTTGATTCCATCTAAATGACAACACTCCAAGTTGGGAAATAAGTTCTTATTCTTTATCCTGACAACTGTTCCAGAACCCCCAAGTGGCTGACGCATATTTCGGGAACAAGTTAGATGCCTTTGGAAGATGCAGTCTTTTTCCTGACATGGTGGTGTAATATCCTCAGCTAATTATGATGTTCTGGTTCCATGATGATGGGGGTTCTGTTGGGGAAAACGATCTCGGAATTTTTGAAGCTGAAATGGTGCTCCTTCAACTATTGCAGACCCTGCATTCGATAATGCCAAATGGAATTCAGCTTTGCGGTACCCTTCTCTCTTTGCGTGGGATACTGCTTTAGGGAGCCCTTTCAGGTACCCAGATGGCAGACAAATGTGAACCCAGCAGGTTTTAAGTGCTGCTTAGTAATATAAATTGGGTGTATTTTTAGCTGGATTACGCCTATGAAGAGGAAGAAAGTGCTCAATGCCCGTGTCTGAGACATGTTCATACTTCCTCCCCAACTTCTCAGAAAATCTGGGGTAGGGGGTGGGGAGTGGGTATCAGGGCTGGTCTGATCCTCTCTTAAACTCTCGTTAAAGAAAAAACCAGGGCTTCCCTGGTGGCGCAGTGGTTGAGAGTCCACCTGCCGATGCAGGGGACACGGGTTCGTGCCCTGGTCCGGGAGGATCCCACATGCCGCGGAGCGGCTGGGCCCGTGAGCCATGGCCGCTGAGCCTGTGCGTCCGGAGCCTGTGCTCCGCAACGGGAGGGGCCACAGCAGTGAGAGGCCCGCGTACCG